TATCGCTATATTGGTTCAAACTTAACAAGGTTTGATGGATGTCCTCAATGCAGAAGAGAATATAAATATAAATGCCAATGCGAATATAGCCCAAGTTGCTTCTAACAATAACAACACACCAAAAATTAGTATCAGAATTTTAAGCTACAAAGATGACCCAAAAGAGAATGTTGTTGTCTGGCTACTTCAGATTTAAAACATCTTTCATGCCCAAGAAATCAATGACGATACAACTAAGATACATTATGCTGCTACAGGATTTGAAGAAGCTGCTTTACACTAGTATCTTAACAGGGTAATAGCAACAGGAAACAACACATCTTTTGCAGATTGGGATGGCTTTGCAACGGCTATCCACCAAGCCTTCCAGCCACCCAACTATCAACATTACCTCTGTCAACAATTAAAAAAAAATTAAGACAAACCAGGTCTGTTCAGAAATATGGAACCCAATTTCACAATATCATAGGGCAAATCGAAAATATGAATGAGATCGATAAGGTTACTTACTTTATTGAAGGTCTTAAGAATGCTACCTGAACAGAAGTGGTCTACTAGGCGCTAGCCACTTTAGAAAAAGCCTGGGTATTGGCAATTCGGTTCGATACTGTGATGTTTGAAACGGGAAAGCCCACCACCAACAAAACCCAACAATATTTCTATATACAAAAAACAATAAGAGGGAATGGTGGACCTATACTGATAGAGTTAGATTATACTAGAGGATCTAATCAAAAATATAAAAAAAATGGTCAAAAAGGAAACTGTTTGAAGTGTAGCCAGTTAGGCCACTATGCAAAAAACTGCAAAAACAAAAATAAAACAAAACTTACCAACATTGAAGAAGAGCCTAACCAACTATCACAAGCTATCACAAATAATAGTTTGGAATTAATGCAAGTAGAGGAAAACCAGGAACAGCTATTAAGGTTTAACAGTAAAATCAATAGTTACGATGTGTGGATTCTCTTGGATGGTGAAGCTTCACGAAATTTTATTGACGAAAGTTTTGTTAGTAGAAATAAATTCATTACAATAACTTCTTCCTTCTTGTTAGTTGAATTAGCAGATGGAAGAAAGACCACAACAAATAAAACAATCGACATTACAAAGTTAGAATTAGGCTCCTACCAAACTTCTAGGATCATTGCACAAGTTTTGAAACTTTAGCGTTATGATACCATATTAGGAAAACTATAGTTATATCATGCAAACCTTAACATTAATTAGAAGAGTTAGGAGTTTCAAGAGATTCGGGTAAGTAGATAAGCTAGATACTGAACAATGAATCTGAGTTGAAAGGCTATTAAAGAAAAATGAAAATTTGTTTGCAGAAGGATTAATACAATTAGAAAAAACGAAAATCAAGAAGTATAAAATTTTATTAAAAAAGGATGCTCAACTTGTAAAACAATGATCTTACCAGATATCCTATAGCGAGAATCAATTTATCATTCAAGAGGTTGAGCAAATAATGAAATACAATATAATTTAAGAATCGACAAGTCTGTGGAGCTCTCC